ATGTTGCGTGTGATTGTCGTGCTATCCTGTGGCCTATTAGACATTCCATTTCTTGCCGTCTTCAAGGCTTGGATGTCATCATTGGTACACACGAATGAATTCTATGATTGTTTGTGCCTCATTTTAGTCCCCGAAGTCCTCGGGCGGATACCCTGTCTTGGAGCTATTCAACAACCCCCATCTATTCTGTGCCCTGTTATTGGACCATACATCTTCTTACCAAATAACCCTTGGTCTCCTTCCAGCCACCAAGTTAAGGCTGCACCAGGCCATCACTGGTGGATTCCAACACACTATGAGTTTCCAGCCACAATTAGTGGCCTCCGGAGCACGTTGATGAATTTTTTTGCAATATTTTCCTTCCAGCTGTTCCAGCTGTTTAGCACAATCAGGCTTTATCACCATACACGTGTATGGACTCGACGTATAACTTAGCCAAAAGCTTGTCGTCTTCGTGAGTGAGAGTGTGCTGTGTGCGCGCGAGTGATGTAGACCGGTTAGAAATTTCATATGCTCAAACTTTCCATCTCTACCTCTCTCTCGCTCTCTTCTCTAGTGTCCTCTCATCTCTCTCTCTGACTCTTGTGATCTCCTACAAGTGTAGATGAAACTTCAGTTTGGTCTAGCAACCGGATCAGAACTTGCCACCTTTGAGCTGAGTCATTAAAAGCCTTCTTGGAGTTTAGAAGTGTTTTTTTGACCGCGTTGGACTTTTTGACCATCCTAGAATTGTTTGCTTGCTTCAAGAGTATAGCCTCCCCTTTTATACTGGTTGCTGTGTTTTCCATCTTATTAAACTTTTTTGCCTGATTTAACTGTAAAACTCTATTTTTGGACTAGAGGTGGGGGTTGAGGCCATTTTCAGTTAGGGGGGTTCCACCCTTTTTGGCTCTTTTGCTTGTAAAGTTTTTGTGCCTTGTTCACCAATTTTCAAACCAACTTTTTTAGGCCTTTAACCACTAATTTTAGAGGTTTTTCAGTGGTTAAAAACTCATTTTGAAGTCAAATTGGAGGGGTATCCTCCCCTCCTTGCGTCTTGTTTGCATGCCTAGTAGGCTACATGTTAGCATGATTCTAGCTTAACTGGCTCAAGTCTCCAGCATGTTTAGCCTCTAAAAATAGCATGTTTAGCCCATTTGGGCTGTGTTCATTTATCTTTTCTGATGGTTGTAGGCATATCCTCACAAGTTGCTGTTTTCGGGTCTTAGGACACTCTTGTTGAGTTGATAGCACTTGTGTGTTTTTCATCCCCATTCAGCCACTATAAACTCTGCAACCTCCCTCTTTGCTTCACTCTTTCACTTGCTTTTGAGGTGTTTCAAGCTGGATCCTTTAAGCTAAGATTGAGTCGAGCTTAATGGTTTAATCCTCTTGGAGGTTCATTATCAATGGCATGACCCTCTCCCCTCCTGCCCAACATTATCCCCTTGGTTGGACACTTAGAATGTTTCATCTTAGAGGAATCCCACATGACAAATTGATTAAAGAATGATTTGGTAACTAAAATGTGAAACAAAAAATGACAAGTAAAAGTGGCAAGATAAGCATTTCTTTGTGTTGCATTGCGTGTGTTCAAATCAGACGTTAATTTGAACACAAGGAAAAGACCATTCAACTCCAAAAACGACATATTCGTCGTCGACATAATACCGTAAGGCAATTGTTGTCAAATGGAATAATCTCAATAGATTATATAAAATTTAAAGAGAATATTGCGGATCCGTTAACAAAAGGTTTGACAAAAGAGCTAGTGTATAGTTCATCGAAGGGGATGGGATTAAAGCCTATTACATAAGAGTCGTCATAATGGTAACCCTACTTATATGACTGGAGATCCCAAGAACTAAGTTCAAAGGGACAACTAAGTTATGTGTGGCTCGCCAGAAATCATCAAGGGATTAAAATTTCCCTACCCATTCCTATGGTGAGAATGATATCTGCAACATATGTTGCATGCAAGGATATAAGGATAAGCTTTGCTTTTAATGATTACTTATATCTTGATTTAGGCATAAAAATCAAGACGAGTATAAAGAGATACTCACAATAAAAATCACCTATATGAGTGTCGAACTGGGGCCGGTTTTATGAGAATGAAATAGGCTAAATTCTCTAGAAACACTCATGAAAACCAAGAGCGTTCAAGGCCAAAATGAACACAACAGTGAGAACCACGATGTGTTAGAAGATATTTTGTGTGAAATCTATTGTCTTGGCTTACACAAACGGATGAACAATTCAAGGCATCACATCCATTGGTTAGCCAGTAAGTCCGATAGGTTATCACTAGGGAAGGTTCAAGGCCGAAAGCTACCTATCCTGATGCAAGATATTTTCGACTTATACTCTTTCGATAAAGTCTGCATATTGTTGCATTTCCGTTGTCATCAAATTCCATTCATGTGGGGGATTGTTGGAAATGGTTGGAAAATTCTGGGTAAAACCAGAATTTTTTCCTAAGTTTGGTCTATTTTTTAGGTGGGCCCCGAGTGTCAAAGTTGGCGGGTTAAAGTGGTAATGCGTTCTATGCCACGTTGTGATTCACGTGGTATATTTGGTTACTCAAAACCATTACCGAGTGAATGGGAAATTAAAGCCAAAGTATGCTCCATGGAAATGGAGTTTTGGTGGAAAATCCTTAAAGGTTTGAATAAGGCTTGTCCCACATTGATTTGGTAGGAAGTTTTGAGTGGGTTTATAAGGCATGGGATTGGAACTTGGGGTGTGCCCCAAGGGGTACCCAAGTGTTTTAGAGAGGGAGGTTATGGGCAAAATGGACTAGACCCATTGGACCCAAAAATCACCACACACGCGCGCGCCGCCGTCGTCCGTCCGGTTGGGCGGGCTGGGCCTGGGCTTGGGCGTGGGTGCGTGGTGTGAGGTTGGGTTGGGCTGGTCCGGCCCAATACCTATCTTTTTGGGCCAAAAATATTTGAATTTAATTTAATTTTTTGGTAAAATAAAATCTAGAATTCAAATTAAACCGAAAATAAACTGGTCTGATTTTTTCTGTACACCCAAACAGGTCCCTTCCGTTTTTTGAACCCAACAAATTTAAATCTGTTTAAATTCAAAACCGAACAGTTTTCAACCTGTCCAAACAGTGCCTATCTATTTAAATTGAACAGGTTTTGCACCTGTTTAATTCAAAACTAACAGCTACAATTTTGCCTATAAATAGACTAGCCCCCCATTTGGATTACTACTCCAATTTTCATACTCCATTTTCTGCTATAAATCTCTGCATTTTGCTACATTTAATTTCTGAAAGAAAGAGTAAAGAGTGTAAACACTTAGTGTGTTCGTTAGGCAAACAATTTGTAGTGCTACTATTGTTTGTAGTTGATCATTTCATCTTGTGAGAAAGACGTCCACATTCTGAAAGCATCGTTGAGAGGACGAATCTGTCTTAAGGACACAGTGTCAAACACTGGACTTGATCAGATTATTAATCGAACAAATTAATCAAGTAAGTTGTTTAATTTATTATTCCATTTTATTTGTTTATTAAATCAGATTTTAATTTTATTTTTGTAACAAAATAGAATCTTTCTTTATTTATTTAATTTTATTTCTAGTTTGATTTTTGTAATAAAACATTATCTCTCCTTTCCTTTATTTCTTTTATATTCTGTTTGTTGTTAAGTACACAAACAGAATTAATTAATTACAGTAAAGATTGTTCAACACTATTTTAAGATATTTTGAACTTATGCATTGTTTGTTTTAGCATAAAACACTTTCTATGTGAAATATTTTTCGAAAACATCTTCCACATAAAATGATTTTTGTGATTAGTTGCGACCTTGGAACTAATAAGCTGCTGATGGTGGTGGTAGGGTGGTGATGATGGTGTTGATAGTATTGGTGGCATTGTTAAGACTCTCGAAAATATTTTCCATGTTTTGAATACGAAAATCTATTTTCTACCCAAAAATAAAAATAGAACTTGTTTTTTCATTGATCATGAAAAGAAAAAAAAAACATGTAATTGTCATCTAATAACCAAGGCAAGTGATGATCTTCTTGGAACATTCAAATAATGGTATACCATATTTCTCAATACATAAGGTATACTCATTGGACAAACACACAACCAACATTATATGGTGTTTCGAAAAAACATGATAATTACTTACAAATTAGAGATCAGATGAGCTATTTTATAGACAAATAATCAATCACATAACCGGCTACAGAAAATACATGTGATCATCTTCATTAGACGGTAAAGCTTATCATTAGAAAGTCTGCTCAACTCATGGTAGAATCCCACCATCTAACGTGTATGACATTTATCTGTATTTTTCTATAGTCAATTTTGTATCTGTAAAACTATTGAGACTTTAACAAACTTGCAATCATTTGTAAATACTTCTTGACGTAAAAAAAAACACAACTTTATTACTATCATTCAATCACCATCACAACAAGCTTTTCTTATTTTGAGTAATTAAGAAAAATCACTCACTTCAAACTACAACTACAAACTAGTACACCACACAAATATACAACATTTGCTTCTTAATTATTTAGATTCAACCATACATATAGATATATCTCACATAATCCACTTCCAAGTTCCCATGCATGTTTGTGATTGTCCTTCAATGTTCATAAGCACTAACATCTGGCCTTGGCTCAAAATCTTTAACAAATGGCTTGCCTTTCGGATCAACTTCATCGTCATGATAAGCACTAACATTTGGCCTCAACTCAAAATCTTTAACAAATGGCTTGCCTTCCAGATCAACTTTATCGTCATGATAAGCACTAACATTTGGCCTCGGCTCAAAGTCTTTCACAAATGCCTTCTTCTCTGCAGAATCATTGACAAGTTGATTGTTGTTTGCTGCTGCGTCTGTTGTTGTGTGACAGTTAGTTTTCTTGTCGAAGAGAGGTGATGACACCGAGCCCCGGTGGATGATGAGGCCTTTAATTGCTTCCGGCATAGGCTAATCTTTCATGATGACTTGCCAGTATTCTCCTTCGTCTTTTCTTGCGTCAACACTGCTAGCAACAAGCTGCTCAATAAAGAAACACACAAAGAGTTACAACTTATTTGATTTTTGTGATCAAAATGCTACTTTCTTTTATAAATACTCCAAATTGTATCGGACCTAATGAGATCTTTATGAAGTTTGGGATGCCAAGTTAAAATTATTTAGATTTCGAAGAGGCTAAAATATATAAGATTATATAGTGTTGATAGTTCTTAAACCCCTTGGGGTTTGGAGGTTTCACCTAATATTCAGATTAATGCACAAATTATACAACAAAACCAACCCTTCAAACCCAAAAAGTGAAATTTCACACTTTTCAAACTGTGAAATTTTATAGTTTTTAAAATTTCAATGTTAAAATTGTGAAATTCCATAATGGATTTGTACACAGACACATGATTTTAATATCAAGGATGGACTTACTTAATTGAAAAATATTTTTAACTAATACTATTACAATAAGGGTGGTTTTCAAAACCTCAAAAGCTGGTTATTTCCAACCGTCCATTTGGTCCATTCTATATATTATGTACTACTTTGCCCTCGGGGAATGCTTATCCTTACCAGGACCAATGAGAAGAGAGTGAAGAAAGCACAAGTTGATCCCATGTCTTCAATGACTAATAAGAATTACTCTCGAGTCCTTCTCTAAATTCCGCATGGTGGCTCTATGACCACTTGCTATTTATAAAGATTGAATAAGAAATATAAAAAAACCATAAGCTATGTATGAAGCATAAACACATACACGGATACGGTAATTTCAAAAAAAATTGAGACATATCGGCGGGGGACAAGGCAAATTATTATTATTTTTATTATATTTATTTGCTATGTAGATTAATATTATGTTACTAAATAATCAAAATTAATAAAAACTAATATCAATTCAATATATATGTATATAAACCACTACATTTAAACAAATTAATAGACTATCCATATTTAAACACACATGTGCCTGCCATGTTTCTTGCACACAAAAAAAATTAAATGGACAAGCCATTTGGAATGCGTGTTCCTATTGTATCCCAGCCATGCCCCTTTTGTGTCCCCTACAAAAAAATAATAAAATTAAGGGGACACACCATTTAGCGTGTCCCATATGTGTCCCAGCATGTCCCCGTGTCTGACACCGTTACGGCGCCTATTTTGAAGTATCCATACTTCATAAACCATAAGATTCATTTTGATGAAAAGACAAAAAAAAAAACAAAAAAATCCATACGATTCACATTGATGATGATAATGGATAATAATGCATTGTTATTGGCGGATTAGATGTCAGCCATAATGAGGTAGAATCCAAGAGGAAATCGAGTTTGTGTTGCAGTTGTTTTTTTTAACTAAAAAAGTTGTTTTCGTGTGGATTTGATATCTTATCTATGTTTGGTGACATGTTGATTTCAAGATTAATTTTTCGAATATGACAAGAGTATGGGCCACAGATAATCAATCATCAAAGACTGTTTGCTTCAATTGGAAATATTCATCTTCAACCTATGAAATGCTTCTGCTTTGAACTTGGTTTTTCGAATTAAAATCCAGATTTATGCGGAAATTGTGTGAGTGAATTTCCGACCACACTGCCAAACTCAGTATTCAGCTGGAGAGCACTGTTAGAATAGATGGCACCTGACTGACCTGCAATAGAAAGAAGAGATTTCGGCGGTGGTTTGTCCACCCGGGGGCACTCCGACAATCAAGTCAATTATCTCTCAAAGTAAATCAAGTGCTTAACTCACAGTTCAGAATATGAATTGCGTACCTTAGACCCAAAGGGGTGCCTCTCTTTTATAGCCAACACTGCCACGCCCACTTTTTATTACTCGAAGTCATTACCAAATTCATTAACTTAATTCAATTTCAAGGAAATAAACTCATACATTCAATTCGTAGAAGTGATTAACAATACTCTCATTCGTATGCAAAGTAAATATTACATGAACATACTTAATAAATTGCCCTTGGGCTTACATCACTTAAGGTACAAGAAGAAGGGTGTAACCCTTTTACAACAATGGCATTCCGCCAACATAACTGAGGCCCCGTGGCCAGTAAATAAGTAGATCCAAATCTTGCAGCTCAACCTCCTTAATACCTGAAAAAGATTCAACAACGTGGGATGAACATATAGTCCAGTAGGGAACTCAACATGATCCTCAACAATAACAACTTACAGATAGCTATGATCATGAACACTCATTCTCATACTAGAATAGTAATGTGACAGTTTATACAAAATATATATGTATGAACTTTTCTCGAAAACAACCGTTTCATTCAACGCTACAAGTGGTTTGTCTTTCCTTTTTCCTTTCACTAACCCCCATTCCCAATCTTTCATAACATTAACAAATACTTAGGAAGTAATCTCACTAAGCCCGATACTCTCTTCCATTTCCCATACATACTCAGATGTATCTTTTCAAACATGTTTATCTATAAAACATTCGTTCTCTTCCATCCTTTCCAAAAGACAAAAATGACATTTTGGTTCGTTTCCATTACTATCATAACTATACATGCATATCTGTGTAAAAAATATAAATATACAACCAACCAACATGTATACAATCAAACAATGGAGCAACTCGGTCCTCCGAACTATAACCAATCAAATCCATGATATTTTCAGTTACAACGAAACAACAACAATCCCATTTCACTCTACTAGCTATGTGCGTAGTAAGCCAACAATACACCTTTTACAACAACAAGCCAGTTTACCAGGCGCTAGCTGGAAGGATGTGGTACCTTATATTCTCAGCACATTCAGTTCTCCAGGCGCTAGCTGGAAGGTAACGGTACCTCTGATTATCAGCGCAGGGTATAACACCACCAACCAAATGCAACAAGGCACAACTAACATGTATAACACATATACATAAACCATCCAGATACAAACAATGTGTTAAAGTATATGAACACATATCTACCTCTTCCCAAGCAAGCATACATATATAATGTATCTCAACAA